TAGTGGCTGTCTCATTGACAGCCACTAGAGGCGCTTGCGTGCTTCTCACTGTGATTTTCACAGTGAGAGCACGCCAGCGTCCATAGGAAAGCATTGTAAATGCTTTCCTATGAGACTGGCTGAATGCGCGCGCAGCTCTTGCCGCGCGTGCGCATTCAGCCGGCGGGGCGTAATGGAGGAGGAGAGGAGGCAGAGAGCTCCCGCCCAGCGCTGGAAAAAGGTAAGTTTTTACCCCTTTCCCCCTTCCAGAGCCGGGCGGGAGGGGGACCCTGAGGGTGGGGGCACCCTCAGGGCACTATAGTGCCAGGAAAACGAGTATGTTTTCCTGGCACTATAGTGGTCCTTTAATGTCAAGGGATTGTGAATATCTCTTACATAACTCTAGGTATTAAAGGACACTGGGCGTCTGTGGATAATTATGGATCTTGTGAAAATGCATGATTCTAAATAATGTTGTCATAATTAATAAAATAATCCTTATAGTACAATAAATCAAACAAAATGCCTACATAATAAACCTAGACATTATCTGGTATTATTTCATCCCCTTAGTTGGATAAGAAATTATGGGTGGCTATGAACCCTCCTGTATCTTCTAATGGTTTTATATGTTTTTTCTGTGTTTTGTGTGCACACCAATTTACATTTGGTGATGTTATTCACTTAGAATGTGTAGACAGAGAACTTTTAAGTTCACATCTGACCGTAATAAAAAGGGTAAGAGAAAATTAAGTTAAGACAGTTCAGAGAATCAGTGAAACAATTTGAGAATAAGCTCTCTCACTGGGATGAGATAATCTCACTGGAGAATTATCTAAAACATAAACTCATACCAAGATGGTTACGCAGCCAAAAATGCCCTCTTTAAAAGTAGAAGTAGAATTTAACTCTTAATAGGAAAAACCTGTGGTTAAGTATTTATTTTGATAAAAGTAATGTTTAATTGAAAGGTAGGAAAATGTACAGGGGAGCAATCGCATCTGACCAGATCTTCATGGCATTGCTCCCTTCGTGCCCTAAGGTGTGCATATTGAATAACTGAGCACCAGATTGCAAATTATGTCTGTTGATGCATAGATCTCAGCCAGTGGCTGCTCACTGTCATTAAAAAAAATATATTAGTGACTCTGCCCAGTCGCTAATCTGAAAAGGGGGTATTGGTACAAGTTCCCTGTACCTCCATGGTGGAGCACCTAATAAATTAAGTGGAGAGGACATAGTTTCTCCCCCCCCCCATTACCCCACAAGCAGTGGTGTATTTAGGATTTGTGCAGCCCTAGGCAGGGCGGTGCTCGGGGAACCCCCGTTTACATTTTCCCTACCCCTTCTTGTCAAGGCCGCACTTTGACTGACAGACGCTCACTCACTTACAGACGCACATCTCACTGATAAATGCATACACTCACTGACAGACACACACTCTCATATACACTGACAAACATTGACATACACACTCACTGATTTGACACACTGATAGACAGACACTATTACTCGGACACACACTGACAGACTCACTCCCACTGACAGATTCACTGGCCGACGCACACTCTCACTGACAGACGCACGCACTCACTGACCGACACATGCACACTGACTGACTGACACACACACACACATTCACTGACAGACACACACACTGACAGACACACACACTCACTCAAATTCACAGACACACACTCACATTCACTGACACACACTCATATTCACTGACACACACACTCACATTCACTGACACACACACTCACATTTACTGACACACACTCAATCACTTGCATTCACTGACACAAACACACTCACATTCACTGACACACACACACATTTCCCCCACTCACAATTCTTCTTATTTATTTTTTAATTGAAATCCACCCAGCCTCTCTACACCCTGTTCCAAATTATTATGCAAATTAAATTTTTCTCATTTACCTAAATAATTGATGTAAATAACAGTCAGCATAATTCTCATGTTATCAGCTATTAAAAGAAGACAAGAAAAAGGTGCTCTGTGCAATTAGGCGCTTAACAATAATATATAAATAGAACAGCAGCTCAAACACGCATGCAGGTATCCCAATCCTACACAAACACAATGTGAAAGAAAAAAGTGAACTTAGTGGATCGTACTACCACCAAAAGATCACTCAGTGGAGCGCTAAATATCAAATTCTTACCCCTATTGGAATAACGTATATATCACTTTAAGGGGCAGACAGCATAATAAAATCTACAACAAGAAAATACACATCATAGTGCAGTATGCTTGTAAGGTGTGAATGGAGTGGAAGAAGATGTATGTCCAACTCACATGGTAAAGAGCCTGGAGATTGGCTCAAATCACAACAGCTGAGGTATGTTTGGTAATACCAGACCTTCTCCAGATATACAGCTCACAACATATGTGGATAAAAAAGGACAAAAATCCTAGTGCAAGTATGTTTAAAATAAACAAGTGGTCACATATAACAGTGCATGAATGTGCTCACCTGGAATAGAGCCAATTGTACTAAGCTCTATGTATAAGCGTGTGGTGCCTTTAAGGGAGGCACTACCCTTCTTTAGAAAATGCAGGAAGCAGTTGAAGATCCACTACCAGATGTATAAGGTAAAAGTAACAATTTATTAAAAAAAAAAAAAACAATTAAGCAAAGTAAAACTGTATATACAGATACCAAAAAGTAAAAGTCTCTGGGGTGGTCTTCCTTGGAGTTCCGAGACGCGTTTTCGCCGTGGGGCTTTCTCAATCGGATATCCACATATGTTGTGAGCTGTATATCTGGAGAAGGTCTGGTATTACCAAACATACCTCAGCTGTTGTGATTTGAGCCAATCTCCAGGCTCTTTACCATGTGAGTTGGACATACATCTTCTTCCACTCCATTCACACCTTACAAGCATACTGCACTATGATGTGTATTTTCTTGTTGTAGATTTTATTATGCTGTCTGCCCCTTAAAGTGATATATACGTTATTCCAATAGGGGTAAGAATTTGATATTTAGCGCTCCACTGAGTGATCTTTTGGTGGTAGTACGATCCACTAAGTTCACTTTATTAAAAGAAGACACCTGATGGTAATGTATGAAATATTTATTTTACAGGTATTTATTTTATTGTTGCCTCCTCACGGTAGGGGGTAGGTAGGGTATTTTTGGGGGTTGGATGACTAGGAGCTTGGAGACCCCTAGTCACCAGCGTGGAGGGATCATTTTTAATATTAGCCCCCACCACTTCTAATGGGTGTGGTCTTGAGGGGAAAATAGGTGCACCCACCTATTATTGAGGACCCCACCTAACAATCTGGTCCTTTTTATAATTGTAATATTTGCAACGCAAACGTATAGGGATGAAGAAACGAAGATAGAAAAAAAGAAGACACCTGATGGTAACATATGAAATATTTATTTTACAGGTATTTATTTTATTGCTGCCTCCTCACTATTATTACGATAGGGGGGGAGTCCACCCCCTTATTATTCATGGCCTTCACCTAGGGTGCTGGAGGGGAAAATAAGTGCACGCCCTTATTAATTAGTGCCCTCATATGTCCGCCAATGGTTAGAGACAGGGAGGACAATAGGTTGGCACCGCTTATTATTTAAAGCCCTACCCGCCACCCAATGCCCAAGTCTAGTCTCCTCTTCATATATTATTTTCATCCATTGTATACATTAGTAATTTTCCATTAGCATATTTTAGTGAAAGTTCAGATTTAAAATTTATCATAAAGGAATTTTTGAGGGCACTGGAAAGCTGTCACTAGATAATTATTCTTCAAATCTTCCCTAGTAGCACATATCATTTGGTTTTCTACAGTTTCTAGCATAGGAAAATATAGAATCATTGCAATATATTATCTATTCTGAGACCTCTGCCACCATTCAACCCTGTCCACTAACTACATACAGGTTTTTGATCACAGACCTGTTACTTATAGGATTCCCACAATGAATCTAGCTGTTGTAGTTCCCCATACAATCGTTACAATCTCTGTGTTCTTTTTCTTCTGAATTGTTTAAATATGTCCCCTTGTAATGGACAGAGGGTCAGATGCACAGATAGGCTGGGCCACTCCAGGACCTTAATGTGCTTCTTCTTGAGCCACTCCATTGTTGCCTTGGCTGTGTGTTTTGGGTCATTGTCTTGCTGAAATACCCATCCATGACCCATTTTCAATACCCTGGCTGAAGGAAGGAGGTTCTCACCCAAGATTTGACCCCTTCCATCGCCCCTTCCATCGCCCCTTTGATGCGGTGCAGTTGTCCTGTCCCCTTAACAAAAAAACACCCTCAAAGCATAATGTTTTCTTCTCCATGTTTGATGGTGGGGATGGTGTTCTTGGGGTCATAGGTAGCATTCCTCCTCCTCCAAACACGGCGAGTTGAGTGATGCCAAAGAGCTCGATTTTGGTCTCATCTGACCACAACACTTTCACCCAGTTCTCCTCTGAATCATTCAAATATTCACAGGCAAACTTCAGACAAGCCTGTACATATGGTCCCAGCTGTCTTGGGAGCCAGAAATCTTGCTGATTGATAGGGGATCAAATAGTTATTTCACTCATTGACATGCAAATCAATTTATAACTTTTTTGACATGCGTTTTTCTGGATTTGTTTTTATTTGTTATTCTGTCTCTCACTGTTAAAATACACCTGCCATGGAGGGGAAGCCTGGCCTTCCAGCCAACTAAACGCATGTTACAGAAGCTTCCATGTATCGCTGATATTCTGGGAAAATACCCAGTTACCAGCACCACAGTGCACTACCTAGGTCAGGAGTGCCCTGGTGAACAAAATGAGCCCTCACTCGAATCTCTATTCGCCAGGGAACATGTAATATATAGCTGCTGCCTGCGTGTGTTGGCCTCGCTTTTTTAGCACGCATGCGATAGCACAGACCTTTGGACCGGTGAGGGATATCCCGGTCTCCACTGGACTGCCGCAAGTGACAACAGCAGTCACTAGCAACCGCTCCAGGCTACCATCTGGATTCCACTACAACAAAATGGTGACCGCTTCCACCTCTGACTTCTGGGGCCCAAACCTTTCGCAGAAAACACATTGTGACTACACTGAAAGTTTCCTACAGAGGCTCGATGACATATTTCGGCGCTTCTGGGTGCATTTACGGGACCGGGTCACAGTAAAACAACCTAGACCCCAGGAAGAAACCCAGAGCAGGGTGAGGAAAAGTGTGGGAAGACCCCCATCGGGTGCAAGAATTACCAGCCGCATACCTGGGCAGAGAATCAACCGAGGCTTAGCCCTGTCAGCCTGTCCACAAATGCATAAGACCACCCAAAAGCAACATCTACCATTCAATTGATTCTTATGTTAACCCCTGTGGGGGAAGGACTTCTCCTTGAGCCCCAGAGTCGGTGAGTGGGTGAAAACAGCTCTTGCATGGGCCCAGGGCCAGAGAAGTACCCTGCCCTGGTAGCAGTGTGTTCATACCCCCAAGGACTTTCCTCAGTACTCCCAGAGCTTCCAGGCCAAGTGGGTAGGCTGATTAAAGGCCTGATGCTCAAGTTCTGAGCCCTACTTGACGATTATATTGTAACTTTCCTTGCTCACATGTGCTTTGCTTATCTCTGTTTTCTATACTTTACCTTTAGCAATGCAGTTGTTGTGCTTCTGGATTACCCAGTTCCAGTGATATTTTCAATCTCTTAATTACTTAGCCTGTTTTTATATACTATTTCCCAGCATGTACACCGTATGTCTGGTCTGCAGTACTGTATGTGCCTAATAGTTCAGTTTAAATCCAGCACACAGATATGTAGGCCTTCTAGTAATATACCATAATGAAAATTGTGCAGCTTTAACAAATGCCATGTTATTACTCTTGTTGAAATGTATATACATGCTGTTGTGGCATTGTATACATGTTTGTCAACCCTTTGCACAATAAAAATAAAGAATTATAAAATACACCTTCCATTAAAATTATAGACTAATCATTTCTTTGTCAGTGGGCAAACGTTCAAAATCAGCAGGGGATCAAATACTTTTTTCCTTCGCTGTAGTTATATTCTGGCGAAAGAATGGGTGAGATTCAAAGTGTTAAACTATATGTAGAAGTTTACTTAAGTGTGGGTAGAAGAGAGAACAAATACAAAAATAAATCTATTCTTTTAACCTGAGTTATGAGGACACCACATTTAATAACAGCCTCCATGATCTAATATCTTTGGAATCAGAATACACAAATCCTTTAGTGAAATACAGATTTAGCACTTCAATCATCACTTTATTTTTCACACTCCTCAGATGAAGGAATTACATCTTTAAACTCCCCTGTCACTGAAATGTGTTAAAAACAGTTTCTATATTAAAAAAAAAAAAGTAAAAATAAATTCTGTAGTGAACATAATGTGTTGAAAAATAGCAAATATGTTTAAAGAAAGGCTCATCTTCTAAAACCAATTGTTTGGATTGTGTTGGATATTGACCAATGGTAAAATATTGCAATTTAGATTTAAAAAAAAGTAATCCCACACTCCATAGAATCTTCTTTTTTATTTTCCAGAGGAAACCACAGGACTCACGTAATTAAATAACAAAGACATAAATTTGACTCTTTATCATATGCCAGGGGGTGCACACCTCTCGTTCTGCTGGTACTATAGACTACATAGTTTTTTTTTTTTTTTAAAACAAAGGAAGGACAGGGATATGTAGTCGGGTTGCTGAGGATAATTGGGGGGTAACCCCTGATAGGTAACACTTACAGAAAGAGGAGGAGAGGAAAAAATACACAGAAGCCTAGAGGTTATAGAGTGTCAATTTCTTAGGCTTCCAATGTATAGAAAGCAACCCAGTGAGAATTAATATAAAATTTAACTTTTAATTGATACTTTTAAGATCGCAATAGATATGTAGTAAATAGATGATTTATCTGAAATAGCTTGACTTAAACAAGGGAAATGTATTCAGAAGAACTTGGCAAATTGATTTCATATTACCCATATATTAATGCAGCTCTGTCACCTTGTATATTTTGCAAAGACTCCAGATGGAGTCTTTGAGAAAGATGCCCCTCGCAGTTGCTACCATCGTTTCCATGCTGGTCCTCTTCAGCTCCTGACAGTTAATCTGCCAGAAGCCAACGTTAGTACTATATTCTTGCGCATGTTGAAAAGCAGAAGGAGCACTGTGATAGAGATATGGAATCGTGGTTAAGAGAGTCATGTGTAATACTCTCGAGAAAAAATTATTTGGAACTCAGTCGCAGGTGAAAAAACAAATTGGATACTGTCACTTTAAGAAAATATATTTTATTTAAATAAAGAACTTTAACCTTGGCAGTCTCCTGCAGCGATAATGTTTTAAAATAATAAACACATGAAGAATGGGAACTTTGGTAAAGTATAAGTTCACAAAAAAAATAGTAATTGGTTGCTAATGAAAATAAGGAATGCTTAATTAACAACAAGTAGTAAAGTCTATTAACTTCAATATAAAGTTGACAGAGCAGGTGATTCCTGTTGTACAAAGTAGCAGTCTTTTAACTTGAAGAAATAAATGTCCTGGAATGCGAATTTCCTGGTATTTCCTGGTCTGAGTCTAATTATTAGACTCAAATAATAATAATAATAATAATTAAGATTTGAGTAATTTGGCAAATTACATGCAAAAGAGATAGCAAGGAGAATCCCAGAATTAATAATTGCAATCACTGGAGAACTTATCTTTCCTTTTTATGAATGATGGGAGTTGAAGTCCTTTCCAGAGTAGAATGAAATATGGTTCCCTGAAGTAAGTGAAGAAAGGCAGGAATCCGAAGTTAAGTCTGTTCCTTGAGAGGGAGAGGGGAGTAGAGCGGAGCCAGGATCAAAGCCAGAGGTTTGGTACACAGGAAATCAGGTTAGCAGAGTTCTGTAGCCAAGCAGCAACAATGTAGTTGTAGCGAGAGCACATCAAACCACAAAGATTGATTGAGCACTTTAGATGCAGTTTTGGCTTCCTTTTGAAAGGAAGCGCTTGACGTCAGACGCATGGGCAGAGACTAATCGGCTAAACTCGGAAGTCATCCGGTCAATGCCGATTGGGATGAATTCAACATGGAGGAGTTCCGAGACAATATGGAGGAATCCTGACATTATGTAAACTTTGCTGCTTCTGCTCCCAGCTAAGATTCAAAAAGGAAACTAGTGTGGAGGCAAAGACCACAGAGATTCAGGGTTCTCGGAATCCACCATACCAACTGTAAAAGATTTGGGGTTACACAGACGCTCAATCTGGGCAGTAGACACCCAAGTACAACCTAACTGCTTTTGTTAAATCTAAAATCAGACTCAGTGTATTTCCCCTACGATTACACACCACCGTAATGCAGGAGGCAAATGTCTGGTCATTGGACCTGGAGCCTTCATAATTTAGGGTAAAATTAATTAAATTTTAAGTAAATTAAAAAGTCAGAGACAAATGGATTTATAATTTAGTCTAAACTAGATAAGCTTTGTAACAACTGCCATCCAATAACCTAATAAGGAAGTCGTGGGAGAAATTGTACATATATTTGTAGCTAAAGATTTGCAAGCCAAATGGCTAGCACAATGTATATGCAATGTAAGATTATAATATCTGGCAATGTTACCCTGCCAGGGCTCCATTATTTTGTACAACTATTGCAGTGCTGATGATTCTCACAGGGCCTGTGCACTCACAAGAACAGAAAATGGATTCCAATCAGGTAAGCTATAGAGCCATAGTCACTGCATTGTGAGCAGTTGAAGAGGAAACAGGAGAGTTGGATCCAGAGCCACTTACCTGTTGTGAATTTATGCTGCATCTTCTGTTGTAACTCACTTATGGCAGCCACTGCAAGCCATTGGGTAAGGGGTGAGTAGATATGTTAAGTTCTGTTTTGTAGAATGCTGGCAATAGTGAATATGGAAGGCTGGAATTCATTTATAATAGACCAAATTAATACAGGAACTTTTCCAAGAAAAATGTGTGCTTAAAACATGACTTTTATTGCTGTCATAAAAACAAACACGCAGTGTAATAGGAATCATGAGAACTGTGGAAAATTGACAAAGAATTTGCCAAATTGTAGGCCGAAATAACCATAATATAATAATTCAGCAACTTGTTTATTTTTCATTTGTGTTTTTTTTTTGCCAAAATATTCAATTCCTCTACCACTTTTTCACAATTCATGTTTTTTTTCAATTTATAATTTTTTTTATTGAAAACACAATTCATGTTTTAGCGTATACCATTGTACGAATGCACAATAAAATGTTTTAATGTTTTGATGGAAAGTAGACCAACTACAAGGGTCTCAAATACCATTTTCATTCGATATGTGAAAAGAATATGTAAAGAATATGTAATGGAGATTCTTAGTGAAATAGTAAACCAATAGTCATTAAAATATTTTTTTACTCTTACAAGTTGTTATGAAAGATATTACTGAGTATTGCAGTAAAAATGTCACTTTACATACGTGTTTAAGTTTTGTTTGCCATAAAACCCTTGAAATACTTTAATAATGTTTAAGTGAGAGAAAATATTACAGTGTCAAATTCTAAAAAGGGCAGAATCCAGATGTCTAGAATTCGTGATAAATGCACTGTTATTATTTAAAAGAAAAAAAAACCTACACGCTTAAAGCAGGCACAGAGGGACCCAAATCTACCATTTATCACGGACAACATAAATTATCAATTTCCTATTGCTGAAAGCCAGGGAGGTATTAAATTTAATTTAGCTTCCATCATTTGTTGAAATATGGTATGTTACAGCTTTGAACTGTTGTCCAAAAGGAAGGCTGTTACTAAGACCAAGAAAACTACATTTGTTAAAAATTTTATATTTTAATTTCTGTATGTTTTCTAGAAATGATGGTAGCTTTACAATGCTGTTAAATTGTGAAAAGTAGTATATTGCGTTTGTGTTGCATAATACTTTTCCTTACTCCAAACCAATCATCTACTATGTGACAATTACTTGCTGCTCCAAGTGTTAGAATCCAGTTAATGGGATTCTAAATTGATCATCTCTAGTTATTGCATCAATAAATGAGCCTTCGCTCTATGGGAACAGGGCCAGACTAGCAATACCACTAGCAATACCAGCTATTTAAAATATATGTTGCTGTTTCTTAATTCGGACAGCATTAAAAAAATTAGCATTTGGGAGGAATAAGATTTTTAAAATACAACAAAAGGTAAGGTCTGTAGTGCTTGTTTATAGAGTGCATCTAGGCTGCTTGGACAATCCAAACCAGAGTCTCTTCTCTATGGTCGTGGATGTTATGGAAAAGGGACAAAGGGAATCAGCGCCTTAAACGTATCCTTTAAAATCCAAACTGGAAAA